GGGGCACCTGGCGTTGGCCACTGTCGGTAGACAGGATACTAGGCTAGATGGACCTTTGATCTGACCCGGTACGGCTGTTCTTATGTTACTATTATCATGGACCACTGCTCTGGAATACTAATGATTTTTAATGGCTAAAGTCTGTTGTCACCTGTTGTTTGCTTATATGAATTATTTTCTCTCTTTTTCTCTTTCTAAATATTAAACCAAAATAAAGCAAACAAGTACATTTATAAATAGTGTAAGTACTGTATTGCACAATTTTCGAAATCCCATGTGGTGTCATGCTACAAATGCGATATAATGTTGGCTATATTCCAGTATTGTTCTTAAATGTAGCAGGGTGTGTTAAGGAAGTGACATCTGACTTAAATTGCCACTGTGACTCACAGGACAACCTTAGAAACAAAGCCGGGGGAAATTCTGCAGTTTAAGATTCTGCTTGGTTATCTCTGTAATATAAGACTGACTTGTTTTCATATTAAAATATTGCAGGTGTTTTCCATGTCATTGCCAGAAAACACATATGAAACAGATCCTTCCTGGCAGTAAATCACATAAAATAAAATGTATGTTACCCCCAAAGGATATTTATAGACAATATGATCTCTGTAGGGCTGGCCTGTATTTTTTTAAAATAAATGTGTATGATTTTAAAAGGTGAGAAAAATTGCAATTTCGGTTTGTTAGGAAGCAAAATATAAAAATCCTCCACAAATATCTATTTTAAATAATGGGAAAGGTCTAAGTTAAAACACATACAATTAAAAAAATTCAGAGTAAGCAATACATTGTATTCTTGACTCTCCCTGTGATGTATAGTTATTATTATAATAATTAAATAGTAATTCTTTGCACTACTATTATACCTTTCATTTGAGGATCTCAGAGCAGTGTGGGGAATCTGAAACTTTAATTTCATGGCTCACTATTCAGTTATCACATAGGTAAGGGATTTATAGAGCCATTACTTTTAGGATTGAATGCAGCAGTTGTGTAGCATAGCAAAATGACCCAGAAGTTTAGAAAAGGA